GTAGAGTAATAGCTTTATGAAAAAGGCATCATAAAGAAGAAGGCATCTGACACCTATGGTACACAGAACCTCAAGATGCTTTACTCTCTAGTGTTTGGTTCTATTTTTTTGGTGTCCCAGCAGTTGTTTTGCAGTGGGTGGGGTGACTTTCCATCTATGTGGGCAGTTTACTTCATCGATCTCTGCCTTTGTGATCAGCTCAGGAGTATCTCTGTTGAGCTCTATGGGCATGGCAGCAATGGCAGGGATGCAAGCATAAGGGGTGTGTAGGCCGATATCCTGTAAAGCTGGATGTGCAGCACTGGGCTTGGACACCCACAGGGAGTGAGGAGCTCTTGGGGCTGGTGTAAGCACCTCCTTACTTGGGCTAAAAAAGAGCCAAGGAAGCTGGGAGAATCTCCCTCTTCCTACCAGCAAAGTCCGATGCTGTGGGCTGAGTGGTTTGACTCCTGGCAGTGCAGAGAGGGAGGAGCCTCAGGGCTGCATTGCCAGTTTTGGGGATCAATCATCTGGGTCTCCTGAGATTTTCTGATCTGTTGGAGCAAAGAAGGGCTGGGGTGGTATCCTCTACTTGCTCTTTATCCTGTGGAGAGAGTTCCATCCAACCATAGCCCCTTTGGCACCCCTCCCACTGCCAGCGAAGTCTTTCAAACCACTGCCTCTGCTCTGGGTCTCCAGACTGGTAGGGTACTCCCATTCTCCACAATGGCCAGAATCCAAGCCTCCAAGAGTATTCGACTTATCTCTGGTGTCCAGCCCTTCTAACCACCAGGATCCAATGTAATGTGAGCTCATGATCTAGGGGAAGATCTCCAGGGTTGTGTGCACAGTTCTTCTGGGCTCTTATTTCCTCCCAATTCTGTTCCTCTTTCTCCTGACTATAGGCCGGTGTGGGGGCAGGGCTTGAGTCCCACTCTTGATCTTGGCTCTTGCCATTTTACCCTTTTCTGTGTGGTATTCTCTTCTTCCTCAGGTGTAGGTTGTCTATTCTGCAGTCTTCAGGTCATTTTCAGGTTTATTTGTATTTGCTGTATTTTCTCCTTTCATGTGTTTATGTGAGGATGTTTCCACATTTCCCTCCTACTCTGCCATCTTTTCCTGGAAAACCATGGTCAATAATTTTTCATGATTTTGTTTCTTATATTTATTTCCTCCTGTATAAATTATTTGTTCCTATTAAACATTTAATAAAATCACCTTGATTTTATTTTCAAAACTGTATTTATCACTAACACTCTTGATTCATATTTCAGTATTCTTTCCTAGATCATGATGCTTCTCAAATAATTGGGATGGAGGTTGACTGGATTGACCTTAAATATAAGTGGTATAACATAAGTACATATTGTGATTTGGAAGAGGTACTAGAAATACTACTTTCTAAACCATTTAACATTACCCTAACTTCAAACATCTGAAATTCACTTATATTTTGGCTTTAAGATTTTTGAATTCCTCAATTAAACTATAGTTAACACATGAGTGATTACTCTTATGGACTGTTTGTATCTCCCTAAAATCCATATTTTGCAGTTTTAATCCTTCAATATGATGGTATTTGGAGGTAGGGCCTTTAGAATATAATTAGGTTTATGTGAGGTCATAAGGGTGAAACTGCCATGATAGCATTGCTGGTGTTATAAAGGAATGAAGACACCAAAGCTCTCTCTCAATTCCATGTGAGAATACTGCATGAGAATGGCATCTACAAGCTAGGAAGAGGACCTTTACCAGAACCCAACCATGCTTGTACCCTGATATTGGACTTCTGTCCTCCAATACTGTGAAAAAGAAATGTTTAAGCCACCCATTCTATATTATTTGTTATAGCATCCATGCCAACTAAGACAGTAATCAAAGTAAAGCTTTTAATAACTTAATGAGGATTTATGTTAACAATTCAAGTAGTGGTAGTAAGTGATAGAATTTTTTTCCATACAGGAAAGAGTTTTAGGACTGTTCAGAAAATGGAATATTGTTTTAGGAAGGCAGGTCCTGGAATTAGAGTTTATTCATGACAGTCAGGTCAAACACAAGATACCAAACCTAATAATGAGTGAAGAGAAAGGGGTAGAATAATTGCACATTTACAACACAGCAAAGCAGTAGCACATGAATAGTGTTATAAAACAGAAAAAAATATCTTGAAAGTATACAATTTTAAAAAGTCAAATAAATCTTCATACAAATCAGACCTTTGTTCATTTTCCCTCCATTTATTTTATAGTTTAGCATTTCAAGCAAACAAAAAACTCATAGAGGCATTACAATCCTCTACTGCTGTTTTTATACACTTCAACCTTTCATTATGCTTATCATGCCAGTTTACAACTATGAATCCCTCCCATCATCCACTTTTATTCAACATAGTACTGGAAGTCCTGGTAATGGAAATCAGACAAAACAAAAGAATAAAAGGCATCCACATTGTTAATTCACTTAGAATTAAAACTGTTACTGTTTGCAGATGACATGATACTACATATAGAAAATCCTAAAGACTCCACCAAAAGATTATTAAAGCTAATAACTGGATTCAGCCAAATTCAGAATACAAAATCAACATACACAAATCTTTGGCATTTCTGTATATTAACAAAAAACTACCAGAAAGATAGACCAAGTAAACAATTCCATTTACAATTGCATCAAAAAGAATAAAACACAAAATTGAATAAACCTAACCAAAGTGGTGAAATATCTGTATTCTAAACACTGTAACACACTGATGAAAATAATTAAAGAGAAAAATAAATGGAATCCTATCCCATGTTCACGGATAGGGTGAACTCATATTGTTAAAATGGCCATCTTGCCCAAAGCAATTTACAGATTCAATGCAGAACCTATCAAAATACCAATGGCATTTTTCAGTGAACTAGAGTAAATAATCCTAAAATCTATATGGGGATACAAAAGACCTGAATTGCCAAAGCAATCTTGAGAAAGAATAATGCTGGGGGCATCACACTCCCCAATTTCAAGCAATACTACAAAGCTACAGTAATCAAACAATATGTTACTAGCACAAGACAGACCCATAGATCAATGGAACAGAATAGAGAGCCCAGACATAAATCAACACATAATTAATAAATGACAAAGGAGGCAAGAATATGAAATGTTGAAAACACAGTCTCTTCAATAATGGGTTTTGGGAAAACTGGAAGCTACATGCAAAAGAATAAAGTTGGATTACTGTCTAACACCATACAATAAAGTAAATTTGCAATGGATTAAAGAACTATATATAAGGCCTGAAACCATAAACTCTTAGAAGAAAACCCAGGAAAAAATCTCTTGAATATAAGCATGTACAATTTTTTCCAGTACACATTTCCTTGGCAAAGGAAATGAGAAAAAATAAACAAGTGTGACTACATCAAATTAAGAAGCTTCTGTAGTGCAGAGAAAACCAACAACAAAAGAAAAAGCAACCTACAGGTATGAAAGAATATATTCAAAAATGATATATCTTATAAGGGGTTAACATCCAAAATACATAAAGAATTTATATGATTCAACACAAAATAAAAACATCAAGTAACCCAATTAAAAATTGGTCAGAGGAACTAAATAGACATTTTTCCAAAGAAGGCATACAGATGGCAAACAGGCATATGAAAAGGTGCTCCACATTGCTAATCATCAGAGAAATGCAAATAAAAACTACAATGAGATATCTCCTCACAACTGTCAGAATGGCTAGTATAATCTAAACAAGAAATAACAAGTGTTGGTGAAGATGAAGAGAAATGGGAACCCACTAACACTGCTTGTGGGAATATAAATTGGTACAACCACTGTGGAAAGCAGTATGGAGGTTCTTCAAAGAAACTAAAAATAGAAATACCATTTCACCCAGTAATTCCACTTCTAGGAATTTACCTGAAGAAAACACAATCTGTGATTCAAAAAGCTATATGCACCCCTATGTTTATTGCTGCATTATTTACAATAGCTAACATATGGAAGCAACCAAAGTGCCCATCAATAAATGAATGGATAGTAAGTTGTGGTACTGTGGTACATATACACAATTGAATATTATTCAATCATTAAAAATTAATAAATCCTGACATTTGCAACAACATGTGTGGACTTTGAGAATATTATGCCAAGTGAAATAAGCCAGGTGGAGAAATACGATAACATTTATATATAGAATCTAAAAACAAAACAAAACAAATGAACAAAATGGCAATAGACTCATAGACACTGAGAAGTTTCTGGCGGTCACCATGAGGGAGGGTTGGGATGGGTGTGTGAGGGAGATAAAGAGGCACAAAATCTCATTCATAATATAAATTAGTCATGAGGATGAAAGTACAGCATGGAGAATATAGTCAATGGTTCCCTAACATCTTTCTATGTTGATAGCATCTACACTAGTTGAGGTGAGGATTTAATAATATGTATAACTGTTGAATCACTACATTGTGTACTTGAAACCAATATAATATTGTATATCAACTATACTTCAAAAAATGTATCAAAAATTCAGTTCAGATATGGATTAAATAATTCAATTTTTTGCTTATCTGAATCCTAGTATACTTCTATCTTGCTATGTTTGGATTTCAGTTAAATGTTTACTATATTCAGCAACTTCATAGGAAATATCTTTGTCTTTTAAATCTGCTCCTTTAGAAATATCAATTTTCATTACTGTTCTTTCTTAGGTACAGAACAATTAACCACTTTTGTAATAGGGCTCTCCTTACAAATAATTTTAAATGTTTTCTTAAATCAAAATTCAGCTCTCTCTGATACACTGTGAATATTATTCTTATTTTTTGGCATTTCTTTTGCAACTCTTTTGAGTCCTTTTGAAGTATTCTCCATCTTTCTTACCTTCAAGTCCCAATCTAATCTTATCAATATTCTTGACAAAAGTTAAAGGAGAACTGTTCTTTAGAGAAAATATAAACTCACACCTTGAAAATATCTTTCATTTTTAAATGCAAATTTCTCTAAAAATAAAACAGGAGTAAACATACCAAAGGAGCACATCTTGGTTTTGGAAGTGGAAGAGGCATCTTGCACCGACAGAGATGTTTAACCTTAGGAGATAGTAGTAAAGGCTCACAAGGAGCTAGTGGTGGTCTTTCTCTTGATGGAGTAACTCTACCTTTTCCTGTTGTTGCCCTTTTTCTTTGAATGTAGTCTTTTTGTATGAAATTTTGAATTCTCTCTTTATTTCAGGTACTTCCTTCTTTGAATCTGTAGATGTGGCATCTGATTCATAAAATCCTCTCTTTTTAGCCCCATGTTTATAAAACAACTCTTCAGATTCAGCATCTGCACTTTTGATCATCTCAGGCTTCTTTGTACCTTTCTTGGAAAATTCATCAGATTCAGCATCAGTAGACTCTATGCCCTTCTTAGCATCCTGCTTCTTCACATCTTTCTTTGGGCCTTTCTTAGCCTTCATTGAATCCTTCTTACCCTTCTTTGATTCCCAATCAGATTTAGTTTCAGTAGACTCTTCAGACTTCCTTGCATACTTCTTTTTGTCATTTTTCTTTGAACTTCTCTTATTCTTCTTTTCATCCTATTTACCCTTTTTTGAGTCCCATCCAGATTCAGAATCAGCATCAGTACATACTGTGTCCTTCTTGGCATCATTTTTCATGTTATTTTTCTTTGAATCTTTCTTAGTCTTCTTTGAATCTTTTTTTGCATCCTTTGAGTCTACAGATTCTGTATCAGTACACTCTGTGTCCTTCTTGGCATCCTTTTGCTTGTCATTTTTCTTTGAATCGTTCTTTGCCTTCTTTGCATCTTTTGAGTCCACAGATTCTGCATCAGTAGATTCTTTGCCCTTCTTTGTATCCTTCTTCTTGCTGTTTTTCTTTGCACTTTTCTTATCTTTCTTTGCATCTTTCTTCACATCTTTTGAATCTACAGATTCAGCACCAGAGCTCTTCTTTGCATCCTTCTTTGAAGGCTTCTTTGAATTATTCTGTGAGTAATTATTTAACCACATATCAAATTCCATTGATTCTGCACCAAACTCCTCTAAATATATAATTAAATCCATATTTGAACTATTTTTTAAGCAAGTCTCTGATTTGACATCAGAAATGTTCTTTGAGCTCTTAGAATACTTTTTTGTATATATGGATTCAAAACCTGTCTCCTTAGAATTTCTTGAATCTCTTTTATCTTTATTTTGATCATTCATTGAGACTGGCTTAAAATCTTTGGATTCTGGGTTTGTTTCTGATTTAGAATTTGGCCTTTTAGAAAGTTTACTTTAATGTGATGATTTTGATGAAGTTTCATCTTCTTTATTTGCTCTTTTAGGTTTCTCATGATTTACACTTTTTTGGATTTTGGAGTTATTCATATGACCTTGTATTTTTCTTGAAAATTTTCTCCAAAGTGGCTCCTTTTTGTCATTGGGCTTTTCAGATTCTGCCTTTTCAGGATGAGTTTTAGGAGTAAAAGGACTTCAGAATGGAGCCTCTCTCCTAAAGTTAAGTAAATAGATGGCCTTTGGAAATTTTTTCTTAAAGAATGTCTTATCCATATATGAGCTGGCTTTTTAACTTCCTTTCTTTTGTTATATCGCTGAAAAATTGGTTAGAATAATGACAAGATTTTTTGAATGGGTTATATCTTTTTATATTGAAACATAAAAGTAGTCTAGCTTTTCATTAACCATCTAGTTAAAATTTAAATATATATATATTTAAAAATTTTCAATGTTCTGTGTGTGTTTTTGTATGTATGTGATGTAACACCACTTAGAAAACAAAATAACCTCAAGAGAAATTTTAGGATTTATTTAATGATTCATATTGGGATTGGAGCAGACTTACTTTGATCCATGACATCTCAGGACCTATCCTCACAATTAATTAATAGTGGGCTCCTTTTGGACCCTTATATAGGAGATTTATTTTGGAGCACCTGTCACCCTCACGATAGCTCAGAAATAAGTTGATCCCTTGAAGTTTGTTATGAAAACTCTTGTGAAAGTATATGCTTTAGGCCTAGTCTGATTTCTACTCCTGCCTTCAAAGTCTCTGATCAAATCGAGAGCTGGAGAGCATTGCTGCCAGCTGGAGAGCAGTACTGCCAAAAATAAGGATATAAAATGAAATAAATGTTTGATGTACATTACTTTGTTTATCAGTAGTGTAATTTTTTCACTCCCAAACAAATGTTTGTCAAATCTTGTTGTGATAGTGACCACATAGACTACTTTTACATTTACTTCTTACATTTCTTCAGCTATACAGTGGGGCACACAGTCAATAAAAAGTTCATGTGGAATTAAAGGAGGGCCATGAAAAGAAACATGAAATTTGGATCATCATGAATGTAATGGATGCCCTTGAATAAAAAACATTGGCTATAACTCTGTTTTGGGTGATGCCTTTAATATATATATAATATATTTTGATATGATTAGGTGACTTCTGTAGGCCTTTTACTTTTTCAAGTTGATAGGGTAACTCCTATTGTATCCTATTCTGTCCTACTTTTAAGGATAATTGTTATCCTACTTTATAAAAGCAGGAAAAAACTTGAATTTCTCAGTATCTAGTGTCCTAAGTGCCAAATTAAAGAAAATGGAGAGGACCTAAAACCTTATCAAGACTGCCTCCTGTTCTAAGATTCAAATTTTAGTTGTTCTATCTGCTGGTTAATATTTCCTAAAACATCTTACCAATTGCACCATTAGGTTCTTCAGTTTGCCTAGACTACTAGCTATGTAATGACTTAGAAATGGATAACCATCTATAAATAAAAATTTAATCTAAAACATGTGGGGGTAATCTGTTGTACAGGAAATTATAAACTAAAAATGTGCTTCCAGTAGGTATCAAAATTCAAATTATGTATATATTATTTATATTTATGTATTGTTATGTCATCATAATTTAGTTTAAAAATTACTTTTTCAATATTTACGGGAACTGCGATTTGTAATTCTGACATTCTTGACCTGTTTTTTTCCACCTGGCTTTGGTAGTTTGGAAAATGTCAAAGAAAGTATACTTGATTCCATAATTTTCTGCTTGATTCACTGACTAAAATGAGAGAGGCTAATAAGCAACATGCAGTTAATAGCCAGACTTTCATCAGCACTGAAATATTCTTGAATAAGAAATATGCTGCTTAAATTAAACTAAGTTGTAACCTAAATTACAGATTTCCCCCCTAGAGTTTATACTTTACTTGCATATCAGTTAAGGAAAATAAAAGTTGGTTTCCTCATTTAGCACTGAATTATGTTTAAAATCACACCTGTAATTTTATTTTCTAGATTAAACCAATTTTCACAGATAGTTACTTAAATCATAATAGTTGAAATAATACAATCAAATAGTAGGAATGGAAAATAGGGAAAGATTCACTGTTTCCTTTCAAACATCTCCATTTTCTCCTCTATTTGGTTTATTTTTCTTTACATTGTTTTGGTTAGATTGCAGAAAATATGACTTTTTCTATACACTCCCCATAATAGCCAACACAATGCTAAGCATAAAGTAGTGAATTAAAGATTTTATTGATTAAATCTAGGTGTTAATTTTAGCCCTCCTCTCACTTCAATGATATTTCAAGCCATAGAAATTAGAGCCACAGACCCAAATATTGCATTCAGTTCTTGGAACCTTGTTTAAAGAACAGCATATACACAGGCAAATATACACACTTGAGTAGATCCAGAATAGAGTAATCAGGAGAATCAAAGTATCTAGGAACTATATAAAAAGAGGAACTGGTGAGGTAACTCAGGATAGTTTTCCGGGAGATAAGGAGACAATGAAAGATGTGCTCACCATATTCAAATATTTAAATAACTGTTATATAGAAGAGTAGTAGTAATAGTAATAGAATGGCAGAAACTGCTAATACTTACATAGTACTTACTATGTGCCAGACTGCGTTTTAAGCACTTTCTACATATCAACTCATTTAATCCTCATAGCAACTCTATTAATTAGATAGTTGATAATCACCTCTGCTTTGCAGATGTAGAAACATGAAGTACTGAGAGGTCAAATTACTTGCCCAAAATCATAAAGTTGAAAAGGTAAGATTCAAACACAGTTTAGCTTTACCATCTGTGCTCTTAAAAACAATGTTAAAGATTTATTTTATGTGTTTCCTGAGGAAGAACTAGACCCAATGGGTAAAAGTTGTAGCAGTTCAGGCATATTTCAGCTCAATACATTAAGGAGAATTTTCCTAAAGTTGTAGCTGTTTAATAAATGGACTGTCCAGTTTCATCTTTCTGACCACATTTTCCTTCTCTACTTTGTGTTTTGTGGTTGTGCATTTTAAACATGAAAAGCTTATGCAGTTAAGGCTGCTTTTTTATAATAATGAAGAACAAACTAAATATGGCCTTATAAAATAACTAATACAAATCCACATCAATACCAGAAATATTATAAACAAACCCACATAAAAATATACAAATATACTCAGAAACAGGATTCCCATAAATTATCACAAAAATTCAGGGCATTTTATGCTTTTTCACATCGAATGGAAGGTGTTAGTTGTCCCTAAAATTATTCTCAAATATAATATGAATATTATTGAACTCCAAAGAGTAAATTCTTACTTGGTATATAATTATTATAAGGTCTGATGTTTACTTCTTGTCTGTTTAATAAAAAGAAATCTTTTAATTGAATTTGCAATATGGATAATAATAATGATGATGTTAATAAGTCTTCAACAGTAACACTTTGAGAAATTTTATTCATTCTCTGAACTCCATTTTCTAAGAATGTCTGCCAGTAATTCACATCACAGTTCCTTACCCATAATCTAAGTTATAGATGAACAAAAGTGTAGTCTAACCAGACACTTGAATAAGAATAAATCAAGGAAATCCGAAAGCCCACAATGGCAATAAGTACATATCTATTGATAATAACCCTAAATGTAAATGGTCTGAATGCACCAATCAAAAGGCATAGAGCTACAGACTGGATAAAAAAGCAAGACCCATCTATATGCTACCTTCAAGAGACTCAATTCAAACCCAAAGACATACACAGACTAAAAGTGATGGGATAGAAAAAGATATTCCATGCAAAAAATAGGAAGAAAAGAGCAGGGGTTGAAATACTTGTATCAAATAATATAGACTACAAAACAAAGAAAATAACAATAGACAAAGAAGGATATTACATAATAATAAAGGGGTCAGTCCAACAAGAGTATATAACCATTATAAACATCTATGCACCCAACATAGGAGAACCCAAATATGTACACCAAATACTAACAGAATTAAAGGAGGAAACAGAATGTAATGCATTCATTTTAGGAGACTTTAACACATCCTCACTTCAAAGGACAGATCAAACAGAATATAAGTAAAGAGACAGTGGCACTGAAAAACGCGTTAGAAGAGATAGACCTAAAATACATCGACAGAACAGTCCATTCAAAAGACACAGGATACACATTCTTCTCAAGTGCACATGGAACATTTTCCAGAGTAGATAACATACTAGGCTACAAAAAGAGCCTCAGTAAATTCAAAAACATTAAAATCATACCAACCAACTTCTCAGATCACAAAGGTATGAAACTACAAATAAATTGTACAAAGAAAATAAAATGGATCACAAACACATGGAGGCATAACATCGTGCTCCTAAATAATCAATGGATCAATGACCAAATTAAAACAGATCAAGCAATATATGAAGACAAATGAAAATAATAACTCAACATCCCAACTTCTGTGGGATGCAGTGAAGGCCATTCTAAGAGGAAAGTATATAACAATTCAGGCCTATTTAAAGAAGGAAGAACAATCCCAAATAAAAAGTCTAAATTCACAATTAATGAAAATGGAAAAAGAACATATGAGGCCCAAAGTCAGTAGAAAGGGGGACATAATAAAGATCAGAGAAGAAATAAACAAAATTGAGAAGAATAAAAAAATAGAATTAATGAAACCAAGAGCTAATTCTTTGAGAAAATAAACAAAATAGATAAATCCCTAGCCAGACATATCAAGAAAAAAGAGAGTCTACATACACAAACAGAATCAGAAATGAAAAAGGAAAAATCACTATGGACAGCAACAAATACAAATATTTATTAGAGAACACTATGAAAAATTATATGCTAACAAACAGAATAACCTAGAAGAAATGGACAACTTTCTAGAAGAATACAAACTTCTAAGAATGACCCAGAAAGAAACAGAATATCTGAACAGACCAGTTACCAATAATGAAATTGAATCTGTAGTCAAAAAACTGTGCAAGAACAAAATCTCCAGATGGCCTCACCACTGACTTTTATCAGACGTTTAGAGAAGCCCTAATACCCATCCTCCTTAAAGATTTCCAAAATATAGAGGAGGAGGGAATACTTCCAAACTCATTCTATGAAGCCAGCCTCACTCTAATACCAAAACCAGGCAAGGACACCACAAAAAAAGAAAATTACAGACAAATATCCCTGATGAACACAGATGCAAAAACTCACAACAAAATATTATCAAACTGAATTCAAAAATACATAAAAAAGATCACGCATCATGATCAAGTGGGATTCATATCATGGATACAAGAATAGTGCAATATTTGAAAATCCATCAACAACATCCACAACATCAACAAAAATAAGGACAAAAAATCACATGATCATCTCCATAGATACTGAAAAAGCATTTGACAAAGTTCAATGCCTATTCATGATAAAAACGCTCAACAAAATCTGTAAGTGAGCAAGGATCTCAAAATAATAAAGGCCATATATGACAAACCCACAGCTAACATCATACTTAACAGTGAAGAGCTGAAAGATTTTCCTCTAAGATCAGGACCAAGACAAGGATGCCCACTCCTCCCACTTTTATTCAACATAGTTCTGGAGGTCCTAGACACAGAGTTCAGACAACACAAAGAAATAAAAGGCATCCAGATTGGTAAAGAAGAAGTTAAACTGTAAACTGTTTTCAGAAGTCATGATATTGTACTTAAAAATCCCTAGAGAATCTACTCTAAAACTACTAGATCTAATATCAGAATTTAGCAAAGTTGCAGGATACAAAATTAATACACAGAATTCTGCTGCATTCCTATATAGTAATGATGAACTTGCAGAAAGAGAAATCAGGAAAACAATTCAATTCACACTTGCGTAAAAAGAATAAAATACCTAGGAATAAGCCTAACCAAGAAAGTGAAAGACCTAAACTTTGAAAACTACAAGACACTCTTGAGATAAATTAAAGAGGACACTAGTAAATGGAAATTCATCCCATGCACTTGGGTAGGAAGAATCAGTATTGTCAAAATGGCCATCCTGCCTAAAGCAAAGTACAGATTCAATGCAATCCTTATCAAAACACTGACAGCATTCCCCAGTAAACTGGAACAAATATTTCTAAAATTCATATGGAACCACAAAAGAACTCTCAATCCTGAGATAGAAGAATAAAGCAGGGGGAATTTTGCTCCCCAACCTCAAGCTCTACTACAAAACCACAGTAATCAGGAAAATTTGGTACTGGCACAAGAACAGTGCCATAAATCAATGGAACAGAATAGAGAGCCCAGGTATAAACCCACACATAAATGGCTAATTCATATATCATAAAGGAGCTATGGACATACAGTGGGAAAATGACAGCCACTTCAACAGTTGGTTTTGGCAAAACTGGACAGGTACATGTAAGAGAATGAAACTGGATTACTATCTAACTTCATACACAAAAGCAAACTCGAAATGAATCAAAGACCTGAATGTAAGTCATGAAACCATAAAAATCTTAGAAGAAAATATAGGCAAAACTCTCTTGAATATAAACATGAAAAACTTTTTCATGAACATATCTCATTAGGCAAGGGAAACAAAAGCCTAAAATGATCAAGTGGGACTATATCAACCTAAAAACCCTCTATACAGCAAAGGACACCATCATTAGAACAAAAAGGTGTCTTACAGTATGAGAGAATATATTCATGAATGACATATCTGATAAGGAGTTGACATCCAAAATATATAAAAGGCACATGTGCCTCAACACCCCCCAAAAAACTAACCTGATTAAAAACTGGGGAGAAGATATGAATAGACACTTCTCCAAAGAAGAAATTCAGATGGCCAACAGGCAGATGAAAAGATGCTTTTCATTGCTAATTGTCAGGGAAATGCAAATTAAAACCACAATGAGATATCACCTCACACCAGTTTAGGAGGACCAACATCAAAAAGACAAGGAACAACAAATGTTGGTGAGGGTGCAGAGAAATGGGAACCCTCCTACACTGCTGGTGGGAATGTAAATTCATTCAACCATTGTGGAAAGCAATATGGAGGTTCCTCAAAAACTCAAAATAGAAATACCATCTGACTCAGGAATTCCACTGCTAGGAATTTACCCTAAGAATGCAGCAGCCCAGTTTGAAAAAGACACACGCACCCCTATGTTTATCACAGCACTATTTAGTATAGCCAAGAAATGGAAGCAACCTAAGTGTCCATCAGTAGATGAATGGATAAAGAAGAGGTGGTACATATACACAATGGAATATTATTCAGCCATAAAAAGTAAACAAATCCTACCATTTGCAACATCATGGATGAAGCTAGAGTATATTATGTTCAGTGAAATAATCCAGGCAGGGAAAGACAAGTACCAAATGATTTCACTCATCTTTGGAGTATAAGAACAAAGCAAAACTGAAAGAATAAAACAGCAGAAGATTCACAGAACTCAAAAATGGACTAACAGTTACCAAAAAGAAAGGAGTTGGAGAGGGTGGGTGGAAAGGGAGGGATAAGGGGATTAAGGAATATTATGATTAGTGCACATAATATATGGGGGGCACAGGGAAGGCAGTATAGCACAGAGAAGAAGAGTAGTAACACTATAGCATCTTACTATGGTAATGGACAATGACTATTAAGGGCTATGCAGTGGGGACTTGATAATAGGGGGGAATGCAGTAACCACAATGTTGCTCATGTGAAACCTGGGCCTAAGATTGTATATCAATGATATCTTAATAAAATAAAAAGATGAATAGGTCTCAGAATCTAACATAAAACATGGGGACTGTAGTTGAAAACACTGTATTGTATAATTGAATTTGGCTCAGAGAACAGAACTGAAATGTTCTCACACACACACACACAAAGATAACTATATGGGATGATGGATTTGTGGATGTATTAATTACCTAAATGGAGAGAATCCTTTCACAATCAGTGCTATGATGTACACTTTAAATATTTACAAATGTATATATCAATTATATATATACCTCAATAAAACTGAAATTTAAAAAATGAATAAACCAAAGACCCAAATCTGTAAAAATACTGATTAGACAAATTCTAAAATATATAAAATCTCATTTAATTATACAGGGTAGTAAATCAAACTAGTCCTCACCCAGTCCTCTAGTGAAAAAGTCAAACCAGTAGTGAAACCATAATATTTCTAAATCCATTAAATAATTTCTGAAAAATCCCCACAACTATTGAATGTTTTCAGAACTTATATCATCACTAATAGTGTGTGGAAAGGACACATATAAGTGTTTATCTGTATTTTAAATTGTTCCTACACTCAGGAAAACTTGTTCATAATATTTTCCATTTGGGTAATATAATTTGTTTTAAAA